AGTTACTCGAAAGTGGATTTTTAAAGCCTCCTAATGGTAATTGCAGCAATTTTACAGCTCGCATGCCAAGCGATGCAGTATAACCTCAACTAAGTTGATCCCTTGTACACACACATCACTCGGCCAACGTAATTGACCAACGTTTGTTTCCCTCAAAATCCACTTTTTAAATTTTTTTTAAGCTACACCTTAGTAGGTGTACTTGGAAGGAAACTTAGGAGGAGAAAAAAACACTTAACACACATGTCCATAAAGGTACGCTGTAAAATAATTAACTTTTCGAGACAAAAGAATAAATAGGGTTTAAGGAGCTCATTCACTGCAAATAATCATCGGTAATTATTGTAAAACATTTTCAAATACTGGAGAACAATATGATTTGCACTCAATGTGGTAAGGAAATTCTTTTTCACCGGCAAAACTAGGACAAAATGTTGGGATTTGCAGTATTGCATCTCTATTGTAGATCCACGCATAGGGTTGTGGAAACGTCTTTTGTCAGTCTTACCGTCGAGCATTAATCTTAACTCTTTTTTTTAGCAGCTAGGCAAAGCGCTCTTGTATGCGACAATCTAAACTGGTAAAAGAGGTAGAAATACTCTAAATTACCTATGGTTAGTATTGATATCGTGAAATTTTCACTGGTTCTAAACGTTCAACCAATGATTAAACGAAAAATGATCATGTTGAGAGTAACAATCACGTCCTCTTAAAGTGATAACTTTTAAGAGCTATACAGTTACCAGAGTAAATACTATTTAAATGGGGTTTAAAGCACTGCATTAGTCAAAAGCGCAAATTTCATATCAGCCTTCAAAAGCAATAAAATTTCTGTAAATACCTGATGACTAGCATGTGATAGCATTTATAAAACCAAATTTAATGTTTAATCTTTAAAACATCCTAAATGGTCCAAAACTGCATAGTACACATTAAGATTGTGCAAAATTCTAGGTTCACAAGATATTTCATATCAACGAATTAGCAAATTACGCCATGAAATTTTTTGCATATTAAAGATTATAACTATCTAACTGCTAAAAGACAAAGCCAGGTAAAGTAAAACTTTTTTGCATTTCAGTTACAATAGTGTCTTGCAAAGAAATAAAAAGTTAATAAGATATTTAAAGGCACAATTTTTAGTAAAGTTACATACAAAGGAAGAAAAATTATGCGATCGGATGATCAAATCATGCAAACCTTACATACAACATAAAATTGTTAAAACTGTAAAGGTGATCAAATATGCATGCATTTTTAGGCTTGGTTATAGTGTGGAAATTTAACGCTATATTAAAAAGGAGGAATGCAATCCCGACAGAATGTACTTTAGTTCGCTAAAGATTGCAAGGTCTTTTATCTCACAACACAAGCATCCTGACTTTATGCGAGGTACGGTGCAATGAACAATTTGCTCACTACGTTTAGACAGTCTTTGTGAAATATTTTGCGTATTTGAAAAAATTAACAAAAAGCTCAAAATTCAACTTACTTTCCATATAGGACTGAGAAAGACCATAAAAGCAGGAAAATAAAAGAAACAATGTATTGATAGATAATCCATGGAGCGTATATGACCGGCTGGTACCCATCCTCGCAACTCAAAAATATTTCAATTCATGCGCAAATAGTTCCAGCCACAGTCAAGGTTGTGTTTTAAACTTCCGACTGCATAAAACAAAATAGATCACAATTAATAGGTAATAACTACGAGTTATTTTAACACCTAATCTCAACAAATAACACTGTTGAATAATTTTTTTGCTATATTTTATACTACAAACTAAGTTACAATGCATTAAGGAAGGAATGACCCTTGGCAGGCATATTTTCGGCGTTGAAGCTATTTATTTGGTTGCAATTTTGTCATCTTATAGCTTGTTTAGGCTTTATATGTTAGTATTTTCAAAAATGGAACTCGCACTGTAGCATCCCGAGGCTTTCCATAGGGTGGAAGAGGGCATAAGTGAGGTTGAATACATGTGTTCTGAAGACGACACGGCAAACGGGGCCTTAGCGTGGCTCGAAGGCCAGCCCACGTGTACAGGAGTCAGACAAATTCTAAAGTGACCACCAAACGCCCGCTAGTCACATAACAAATCATTGCGCGCACTGACATTTAAACGTTTAAATTTACTAGTACTGGTGAAAGACCAAATTTCTGTTTGAACACGGTGCTCGAGAAGCCTACTGCGGAGACTAATCCCTCCAATAAATTAACTCAGCCTTTCATGGACCTTAGTTTTGTCCAATAAACCTATACCAGAAAAGCCTCTTCCGATCGTTCTATGAAGGGGAGCCCCGAACCATCACTATGTTTCGTCACATCAGATACAAAAGAGTTTTAATGCAGGGCCTTCAAAATTAACTCATTTAAATGTCTCATTTGGATGGAGAAGTCATTTACTTTTGCTTACCATTAGTTTTGGTCGCAGGCGCCGGCCTGGCCTTAATGAACATTATTATGCTGACTCTCCCCCATAACCATTCCAGCCTTGTTTGTCAAATATGAGTATTCTATCTAAGTCTTTTGCTTCTCTGTTGCTCAAGGGAGCCCCAAGACAGTGTTTTGACTCTCTCATACTGTGTAATCTAGTAGAATGTTACGGTGGAATATAATATACATAATTGTTTCTGTGATCATAGCGTCCTGAGACTTCCCAACGGCTGGAAGAAGGCAGTAAATGAAGCCGGATGCATGTATTCCAAAGAGGACAAAGCAACTGAGCCTGACCGTGGCTCAAAGGTCAGTCCATAAGTACAAGGTCAGACGAATCCTGAAGTGACCGCCGAACGTCAGGCAGTCACATAAACAAAGCATCACAGTGGCGTCATGCCAGTGGCCCGCGCCTGGGTCAGAATTTCCATGATAAAACGTAGCTATTTCACCAAAGCTAAGCAGTAAACAAGCAGTCTTGTACATGACTTTCTGCTAACTCATTAGTTCTATCCGCTAAGAACTTTGTTATGAATATTTTTAGTACTACTGCCTCTAGTAAGTGCATTAACTGCACTTTATTCTATAGATTACGATAAGGATCATGCCAAGGCATCGAAGTGTTTCTTCTCCATCAAAATTTACCTGATAATTTGCCTCATCTCTAAGGCAGTTGGAGGCGATTCTGCTTTAGCGACTGCTTTTCACAAACGACTTTGTAAGTAAGTCGGTTTTTTGTATTAATTAGTAGGGTAATCCAACGGTCCAATGCGGCATTTCGCAGGCTTTATGAATATCGTGGGATAAGTTCATACAGCACTTTCATCTTCCTCAACTATTTGTCTGCCTCCATTAGTGAGGCAAAGGTGTTGTTACATCGCGTATTAGGTTATTAAGTCTTTCAAAAAAATACAACCAGAGTGTCGACATGCCATGTACTTGCAGCTGCGTATGCTACCACCTGATGTCTAGCGGTTACTTTAGTGTTCGTCTGACTCTTGTACGAGTTGGCCGACCTTCGAGCCACACCTAGGCTTAACCCCTTTTTATCCTCCTAAAATACATGCATTCAGTCTCACTTCATGCCTTCTTCTACCTGGTGGGAAGTCGCAGGACGCTGCAACATTATTTCGTACACTTTCCTCCTCCACCGGTATTTTGCTAACTATGATTACTTTTGTACACTTAAGAAGCTAACTGCCGCCTTTAGAAGATGAGGATTTAATGGTGGAGACACTGGACAGAATGTTTACTATCTAATAAGGGAAGCTGGTGGAGCGTATGAATATCTGGTGGAAGAATGAGTCTGTACCTGACTTACGCCTCATCGGCGTCGACTTCGCGTTTGTCCTAATAAGTGACCTTCGGATGATAAACAATCGAGAATGCGTCAGCCTTTGTTTCACTGTGGATCAAGCAGAATGTTTGACATGTGACGGTCAATTAAACCTTCTACAGAGCCGAATTGAGCAGAGTCGTTCCCCCGCTCTAACTTGCACGCAATTTTCCCCCAAGCCATCCAGACGATCGCTCCAAACAACCGATTTACCTTTTTTCAATGCTGTATCTTCACTCGTTTAACGGTACACTTTAGAAATTATGAATGTAATACTT